GCTGAACTACAAAATCTGGTGCCTGTACTTGCCTTAGAATTATTTTCTACAACGATACTCCTGTGCTTAAGTGCATTCCTAGAGAATCACAGCATTGTTACATTAGAGCATTCTTTTGTTCAAGAAATATGCCCCTCCTACAAGTTTTCACAGGGAAGTTATATCTGTGTTAGAGCCTGGGACCTTAGGCTACTTCTTTAAGGGCTTGTACAAAGGAAGACACAACTTTAGAACAGTGTGGGGTTCACAATCAGGGAGACTTTTTTTTTTTTAATAAAAAGAGGGGAGAGAACAATGATGAAATGATTTTTAATTTTTTTTTTTTTTTATAAAAAGAGGGGAGAGAACAATGATTAAATGATTTTTAGTGGAGAATTTCCTACATGGGGGTAAGGAAGCAAACAACAAAGACTTAAAGCAAACAAAGCATCAGGAAGTATTTCATTTCAACCAAGGGTTGCTTGGGAAAAAAAGGTGGGTCAATTCAAAGAACATGCTTTTAATTCTGCCAAGTAGAAACAAATGCATGCAGGGAGGAACCAGAAATCTGTTCACCTGAATAGAATGGCAGCAGTGGTTGTGCAAGGTAGCAGTGCAATCATCTCCTCGTAGGCAGTGATCCTGAAAATAAGCAACATAAATATAGTAAGCAACAAATTAAGCACAGTCACCAGTGTGATGCTGGAGGAAAAAAAGAACTCAATCCTTCTATCTCTTTACAAAAGAGAGACTAATGAGATGATTTTACCTCAACGGCACAAGTACTGATGGTATCAAACTGTACTGACCAAAACTGGACTATTTTCAAAGTGAAGTTTAAGAACTGGAGAGGGTACAGAGAATCACATATAAACAATTCAAGAGTAGTAAAGGTGTTTTATTTTGAGAAAACAAGAGCTCAATCAAGAAGACAGTAAAAGGCTAATTAGTGCATAAGTTCATGGGGAGAAGACACAAGTCTTCGAAAGCTCAATTTTGCTGAGACAGAGCCAGTGTTTAGAAGGTGAAGTCAGACAAATAGAACATGCGTTTTCTGCAAACAAGGTGATTTATTATTCAATCATGTTTCCAAGCAGAGTGCAGTATAATCATGACTGTGTATCTTAAGTGGAAGAAAGAAAAGCATTGTAAAGAAACACAAGTTATGGGACTCCCTGTAACAGGCAGTCAGCAGGCAGAAATTTAACACTTCACAGTAAAAATGATCACAGAAAATTTGATACAAACTCCATAGTATCTTCCCCAGCAGCAACTTCATGACACATCTTTTCTAAGCTACCTAAATGAGCTCAATTAAAGCTAATTTTAAGACTCTTACCTAAAGAGTTCAAATAACCTGAAGAAAATTGCCCTCGAAGAAGCTACTTCTTATCAAAACATTCCTTTTTAATTCCCAGGTTGCGCTTAGTCCCCACACTAATAAGCCTGCCCATTATATAAGTTCTGGTTCATATAATGCCGAAGTAATCTTAAAATACTAATTCTATACATTGATTAGTCTTTGCACAGACAAATGGAACTGAATCTCTGTGATGATACTAAATTATTCTCAACAGAAGTCTCCCTAGACAAAGAATCACTGGAGGCAACTGTGGATTTCCCAAAGTCTAGTAGAGCTGCTTATTTTCAAGCTGATAGCAAGTACAGTCTTGCAATCTGTCACTGCTGTTGCTGCTTAATTTCAACCGAAGTGTTCTCAAACATCATTAGTAACTAAAAATACGATTACTTCATTTACAACCAGAAGTATACAGCACGAGTTTTTCAACCTAGTACCGCCACATTAAAAAAAAAAAAAAAAAATCACAGGACTCTGTAATAACTTACTCTAAACATTTCTGCAAAATGAGGCCAAATCCTGAAGAGCTGTGAACAGCAGGAACTGGCCAGCACAACTTTGTGTGGACATATTCTCCTTAGTTAAACCATTTTAATTGTCTGTAAACCTTAACAAAAAACTGTCTTCTGCAGATGATACTACACATGACTGCCTTACCACTTCTTTCTCCAAATTTGTCAGCCATTAATGAAGACTGAATGGACTTGCAATACAATTCAT